TTTTTTTTACGGGTCGCGGGTTAACCGCGGCTCGTGGGGGTGCAACCCGCGAACCCGCGGGTTACACCTCCTTGGCCCGTGAACCGCCCGCACGGGTCACGGGTCGGCTCGCGGTCCGGGTTTTCACGGGCCGATTTTCACGGGTCATGGTCGGCCCGTCCGTCTTGACACCTCTAGTCATATATGATAATTATATGAGAACATAGTGCTACATATAAGATAAAAGTTTTGTAGCAATAGAAGTTCCACAATATCAAAACCATGAACAGAGTTACTGGTGTAAAGAGGAAAAGTTAAAAATGAAAGTAAGCCCCTGTTTGGCCCCCATTATTGTAGATTTTTAGGGGGTTGAAAATTTTTAGAATAGTGATTGATGGGAGATGTGTGGTTGAAAAGTTTTAGATTTGTATGTATTATTATTTTATTTGATGAATGTATGGTTGAGATGAAGAGAGAGAAAAATTTAATGTAATGTAATGAGATATAATGGAGGGCAAACAAGGGCTTAGTGATACATGGAAATTGTACATTAAAGTAATTTTTTTCCACAATATATAATGGAGGGCAAACAAGGGCTAAATCAATAGCATTCTTCAGGCGATTGGACTAACAAGTGATTCTTCTCCTATGAGTTGATGCAGTAACATGTTCAAGGAGACATGCAGAAATTCCATAATCATGAAATGAACACCGACAGCTCACTATGTCCAGAACCGCTAATGAGCTCGACTTCCAGAAAATAAAAAATGTAGATGTAGGTTTAGACGCGCCTCGAGACTCCCAGAATTTCAATAAATTATTGACTAGAACTGTGAGCAGACATTGAATTTTGCAGACTTATAACACACCATAGATGTCAAACGTTTGGTGCAAGATTTAAATCACCTTCTGGATCACTAGGCAACCACACAACACATCTGGAGGCTAGAGTTTAGGACGTCCAGTAAGCTGCTGATCAGCCAGTTGTCTAGTCTGGGGTGCACTCACATGTTCAAAGAACTGAAAAAAGAATAAGAATCAGAAAATTCCATGAACAATTGTGTTCATGCCAATAATTTATATAGATACTTTTCGACAAAGGAACATCCCAAAATATGAATAAAACATCAGACATCAGAATTCAAAATTCGATACCTTCTGGGATCACAAAGTTAGCAAACACATCTATCATCAGGGAAAGTCCATGGGACATAATTTCATGGTCTACCATGTCTTCTTGTGCACCAGCAGTCTAAAAGTTTTTGTGCCGACTTCTTAAGCACCTGTTGACAAGGTTACAATCATTATGCCCAAAACCTTAAACCCATAAGTGGGTTTTCCTCAATCCTGGTCCCTTGAGATCCAACTTGCCTTATTCAGGTATCTGAGTTAAAACTAAATTCTTCCAGGTTGATCAGCACAAATAAAAAAGATGCAAGACGAAGAAAGAGAGGACTAAAAAAGCATTCATTTTGTTGATAAAATTATTATAACGCATTTCAAGGAGTTCGACTCGTCTGTTATACTATCATCATACAAGAAAACGAAGAAAAATCCCTCAAATGTTTACTCTCTACAATTTAATTTAAACAAAACACACTACAAATTTTTAGACTAGGAGCTCTTGTTAATAGAATGTCGCAACCCTTGATAAACTAATTAACAGTGTTATGCCTGTGATGATATAGCTGCAGCACTTGTGTAATCCACTACCTTCTCTTTCTTATGTCTCCCATCTTTAGATTTGTGTGACTTGCGCTTCTTCCTTGAGATCTCTTTTGGTTCGTTGTCGTCATTTTGCTCCTCGAGAGAAATGCCTCCGAATTGGTATCCCCCCGCATCCTCAAAGCACTTCACATCCTCTTCTTTCAACTCTCTTCCATCCGTTTCAGGTTCAATAACGGGCATTCCAGTTAAGGTATAGTCCAAGAGGAATGTGCTTCTTTCCAACCTATCTATTCTGCTGAAATGCCTTTGAGAATATGGAATAAGGGCTTCGAGCAGTTCTCCAATTCCTTTTATCTGAAATCACATGGATATTGAAGTCCATCATTCACAAACTTGTAAAGAAGCCAGTAATGAGTAACCCAAAGCAAGTACCTCAACTATCTCTGTTGGAGGGAGGATGCTAAATACACGGAACAGCACAAACTGTGCAATATAACACAGCTTTGGTTCTGTATTCCATTCTCGCACATATTGCAAAAGTAGATGAAACTCTTCTTTGCCCAGAGTACCAAGAGCTTTTTCAATATGAACTTCAGCGTCTCTCTTTTTGTAGGGAGCGCAACTTCAGACAAACAATTCTATGTAGACAAGACAGCAAAAAAACAATTACAAATAAAAGAAACCTGCAGAGTTCACTGAATAACTCAAAAAGTTTGTGAGGCCTGTGAAGTTCAATGGCAAGTTGGAATGCTTTCGTATAGTCAGCGTCCAATGCAGCATTAATTATTCTTGCCCTCTCAAAACACCCTCTTCCTGCATTATCCATGTGGCAATGTTCTCTCAAAATTCCTTAGTATGGAAAACTAAATTGCGCACAAACATAGATCAAATGTTCCAAGACCAGTAAGAAAACACAAATCTTATAGAATGAAGATAAAACATTCAATTAGATATTGTAAATAAACTCTATCATTTAGACTAGTACATAATTAAAACTAAATGGAGGCAAGGTATTTGATATAATGCTGCAGGGAAATTACTGCACATAATTTACGACCAGTAATGCAGGTAATTGGCGAAATGTATGTGCAAGCTGAATTACTGACGAAGAATTGTAAGAAGCTAACATACTGTTGGGAAATTTCACCAATTTCCTTTATTTCAGAAAAATTGTTACAATCATGAATCATATAGAATTTTTCACTCACCAAACCAATTTCAAAGTAAACCAAAGAAAAAACAGCAGCCAAATCTCCTTGCCTGTGTGTGTACGTGTATATATATATTAATTCTAGCAAAGCATCAATCCTCTTCTTGGTCAGCCACTATTCTTGACTTTCCTTACTTCTATGCGTGAATCTATTATATATATATAATACTCCAACAACTCTCCCAGCACCAAGGCAGGCAGCCGCTACGTTTTTTTCTTTTCTTCACAGGCCACACAATCCTAAAATATGGAATAAACCACTATTTATAGGATCCATAATAACCTATTATTATTTGCAGTAGAAGTTCTCCAACTTTGACTTTTGAGGCAATTACCTAACACATATAGCAATAAGGGGCTGTACGAAAAAGTTTCATGCAACTCAAGCCATCTGGCATTGTTGAAGTTGCAACTTACACAACAAGAAGATCAAAAGATACTGCACAACCCTTCCAGCCCACTGGCATTGGTGTAGTTGCAATGCGTGGCAGTGAATCCAGGATTACAGTGTCATTATTTCTTCAGGCATCAACTAGGACCCACTAGAATTCTCTACGTAATTTATCACGATATGTAGCAGAAGTCACGTTTAAAGAAAAGACACTTAAATTGATAAGTGAGATGCCTCACTTCTTTACGGAAGGCTCCCTCTTTATCAGCAACCGTGGAGTCATGCCACAAATTGATTACTGCATCACCACCACCTGTTGCAAACATTTCAGTCTTCTTCCCTATGGCCAAGGCTCAAGTCTGTGTATCCAAATGATTTGAGCGGTTCACATCAGAAGGACAATGAGTGCTTATTATAGAATCAATTATAGGAAGTCTGATTAACATCAAAGAAATATACTATTTTGAGAAACAAAATAAAATGAACACCAAACTAATATGTTGTGGATGATCAATAGTAGTAATATAGTGAAATAAAAAGGCAACAGAAAAGAACATGGTTTTTAAATCAATTCACACTTGTAATTGTTGGAAATGGTGGGTCAATTGGGTCAACTTTGACCACAATTTTAAGAGGGACTCGATGTTCGATTTATCGAAATTAATGTTCAATTAAATTCTACGTTCCGAGTAGATGAGTGTAGAATATTTAATTGTGAAAAACCATTTCAATATGAATGAGAAATTATGGTTGAAAGTTAGACAATAAATAAGAGAAATAAATGGGAAATAATTGGAAAAATGTTCCAATCCCACATAGGTTGTAAACACAACCTTGAACCACTTAATACACTTCAAGTTTGGAAATGAGTTTGGGTCCCAAGGGGTACCAATAGTTTTTGAAAGGGGGGGAGCTTAGACGAAATCAAGACTAATCCAAAGGCCACGCACGTGCCGCCATCGCCGGCACGAGCTTGGGCCATGGGCTTGAGCATGGGTCGGACATGTGTCAATATAATTTTTTGGATAAAATTTATTAAAATTTTTATCTGAATTCAATTAATTTTCTCTCTTTGACAGTATATTAACCGTCCCATCAGTTTGCAAAAACCGTACGTTAAGTGGGCATGAGTGGAGATTTGTATGGAAATTGCTCAACCGTCAACTCTCTCCTCTATTTAAATGGTCCTTAGGCTTTCATCGATATACACAGAAAAGCATACGAATTCATTCTGCATACATACTCTTCTTTCATCGTTCTTGTCTGCATTAGTCTACAAAGAGTACTTCTGGTTCTGGTTCATTGTCTTGCAGTCGAAGTGCTGCTTCTGCAAGTGTCTGATCATTGTATCTTGGGAGATATTTTACCACATATCGTAAGCACCGTGTGACGGGGTAAAAACGTCTTAAGGACGGAGAGTATAGTTCTCGCCTCGATCATCCTTATTCCGAATTCTGCTCTTGTTTGTGCGTTTTATTTTTACTGTTTTGCAATTGTCAATCTGTTTTAGCAAGTCATCTTCTGGAAATTTTATTCTATGCAAATAAAATAAACAACAATCTTAAGACGTTTTTGTTTTAAGTTTTCCAAAATTGTACTTGCTTATGTCTAATATTGCAGATTCTTGTACGATATAACTATGCTGCAGAATTTAATTTGTAAATTGTGACTTGTTGATCTTTTGTTTTGAAAACAGAAATGGCTAACACTGTTGGGACTAATGTAATTCCCCATACTGTGGCTGTAACCTCTATTGTGACGCTAAATATGGTTGGTCCTTATGCTTTAACTCATATTCCTCACGGAGAGAAACTTGAGAAATTTAATGGGGTTGATTTTAAGAGATGGCAGTAGAAAATGTTGTTCTATCTCACCATTTTGAACTTGGCAAAGTTTCTTACGGAGGATCCTCCTTCTGTTCAATAAGGAGAAAATAATCGAGCTTCGATTATTGCCTGGACGCATGGAAACATTCTGATTTCTTATGCAAAAATTATGTACTGAATTGTCTGAATGATTCGCTATATGGTGTATATAGCATAATGAAAACTGCAAAAGAATTATGGGAATCTTTAGAGAAAAAATATAAAATTGAAGATACTAGAACAAAAAAATTTCTTGACGGTAATTTTTAGAATATAAAATGATTGACTCTAAATCTGTTATTTTTCAAGTTCAAGATTTACAGGTACTCCTCCATGATTTACATGATAAAATAATGACTGTAAGTGGGTCATTCCAAGTAGTAGCGGTAATTGAAAAACTCGCGCCTGCATGGAGAGATTTCAAAAATTACCTCAAACACAAACGTAAGGAAATGAACATAGAGGAATTGATTGTGTGTTTGAGCTTTGAAGAAGATACTAAGAAATTTGAACGGAGGAACGGGGACCAACCATGGAAGCCAATGCAAACATGGCTGAATCAAGTTCAAAAAAGAACATGAAAAGGAAGCACTCAAACTTTGCTCCGTAGAAAAATGAAAATAACTAGAAGAACAAGAAGTTCAAAGGGAACTGCTTCAACTGTGGCAAAAATGGATATCGTGCAATTGATTGTCGCAAGCCTAAAAAGCAAAATGACCGTGCACATATTGTTGAAATAGAAAATCTAACTGAAGGTGTTCAAGAAATGCACCTATCTGTTGTAGTATCTGAATGTAATAGTGTGGAAAATCTCAGAGAATAGTGTGTGGATACTGGTGCCACTCGTCACATTTGTGCTGAAAAGAACATGTTCTCTGATTACAAAACTATCGATGGAGAACAACTATTCATGGGAAATTCTTCAAGTTCAAAGGTTGAAGGACAAGAAAATGTGACCTTGAAAATGACATCGACAAGAAACTCGTCCTCAACAATGTGCTGCATGTGCCGGACATTCGGAAAAATCTCGTTTCTGGTTCTCTTCTTAAAAAGAATGGGTTTAAATTAGTATTTGTATTTGACATATTTGTACTAACTAAAAATGGGATGTACGTTGGAAAGGGTTACATGATTGATGGGATGTTCAAGATGAATGTCCTTACAATTGTACCTAAATTAAACAAGATTAATGAAGCTTCTACTTCTGCGTATATTGTTGATTCTTCTTGTGTATGACATAAAAGATTAGGATATGCAAACTTTAAATCTGTGCGCAAATTAATAAACTTAAATTTGCTACCTTCCTTAAGTTTCGATTCTAATTACAAATGAAAAACTTGTGTTGAGGCTAAGTTAGCCAAAAGACCATTTCCTTCAATTGATAGAAATATTACCTTTAGAATTGATTCACAGCAATATATGTGACTTGAATTTCGTACAAACTAAAGGTGGGAAAAAGTATTTCGTTACTTTCATTGACGATTGCACTCGATACTGTTATGTTTATTTATTAAGAAGCAAAGACGAGGCTTTGAAAATGTTTAAACATTATAAGAATGAGATTGAAAATCAACTTAGCAAAACAATAAAAATTGTGTGAAGTGATAGAGGTGGAGAATATGGAGCTCCGTTTGAAGAATTTTGTTCTCAACAAGGCATCATTCATCAAACAACGGCTCCTTACTCACCTCAATCTAATGGTATTGCGGAACGAAAGAATCGCACACTTAAAGAAATGATGAATGCTATGTTGATTAGTTCGGTCTACCACGGAATTTGTGGGGGGAGGCTATCCTTTCAGCAAATAACATTCTTAATAAAATTCCACACAAAGGAAAGGATGAAACACCTTACGAGTTATGGAAAGATCATAAACCTTCATAGAAATACTTGAAAGTATGAGGGTGTTTGGCAAAGATAGAAGTGCCAAAATCTAAACAAATAAAAATAAGACCAAAAACTGTAGATTGCATGTTTATTGGATATGCTCATAACAGTAGTGCATATCGCTTCCTTGTGCATAAATCCGAGATTCCGGATATACATAATAATTGAATGAAAAAATGCAAGTTTCTTCGAAGATGTCTTTCCTCATAAAGACAAAAATGATGTAAGTTCAACAAAACGAAGTTACTATACTGCAAATGATGATGAAAATGAAGCAGAACTCAAACTCAGTAAAAGGGCTAGAAAGTCTACGTCCTTCAGTTTAGAAGTTCTACCGTACATGATCGAAAATGAACCAAAGACATTCGGTGAAGAAATGTCAACACCAGAGGCTCCTTTTTCGAAAGAAGCTATCAATAGTGAAATTGAATCAATAATGCAAAATCATACTTGGGAGTTGGTTGATCTCCCACCTAGAAGTAAACATGTAGGTTGCAAGTGGATTTTCAAGAAAAACTTAAAATAGGATGGATCTATTGAAAAATACAAGGCTCGTTTGGTAGCAAAAGGATATAGACAAAAGGAAGGTCTTGATTTCTTTGATACTTACTCACCAGTAACGAGAATTACTTTGATAAGAATTCTTATTGCAATTGCTACGATACATAATTTCGAAATTTATCAAATGGATGTTAAAACAGTTTTTCTAAATGGTGAGTTGGAAGAAGAAATATATATGGAGCAACCTGAAGGATTTGTCACTCATGGACAAGAGAAAAAGTTTGCAGACTCATTAAATCTTTATATGGATTAAAACAAGCACCAAAGCAGTGGCACCAAAAGTTTGACAAAACAATGTTGTCAAATGGTTTTAAAATTAATGAGAGTGATATATGTGTGTATAATAAGAGTTCACCGACAGCATATGTCTTAGTATGTTAATTGACATCTGACATATTTAGCCCATACAATACCAAAGGTAGAGATGCCTTTTTAGATGCAATATTAGTGAAAAACAATGGAAGCTCATCATTTTGATCGTAGGTGGCAATGCATTCATTGGTTTTAACTGTCCAAGCTTCACCAAATCATCAGCACCTGATAATGAAATAAATTTATTTAGAATTATATAAGGCACAATAAAGCATCTGATGCATGGGGATCCGATCCAGATGAGGCCAAGCTGTCTGATAGTTCGTTAATGGCATTGAGATACCATGAGTTAACGAATCAGCGCAAGAATGACAAGTAATCATCGATCTTTCCTAATTGGGGCCACTTTTGGATATGTTTCAGTATTTTGGCTATAACTTTGGCTACGGTTGTCAGAATCACGCCCATGACCCCAATTCGGTAAGCTCTTTCCGGTGCGCACGTCATGGGCACCTAGCTATGCTCGGTGTGCATTGGTTTCGAGGCCAAATTCAGTTATTTTTCCGTCCGAATCATCAATTTAAGTTATTTTTTGCCATTTTTAGTAATATTTCGATTTTCTTTTTGACATAGATTACGATATCAAATTTAACCAAATTTTTGGGATCTTCTTCCTTTCATTACGTATTTCGTTTTGGTATGAATAATAGAATTTTGCTATTTTTGGCAAAATTTCGATAGTTAATATTTTCTAACTATTTAACCCGACTTGTGGGTTATTTTCGTTCAGTTGTTGAATAATAAAGAATTTTCTTGTTTCTCTTGGTGTTTCTCTTGCATTCTTCTCTGTATTTGTCAATTGATTCCAACTTGCAGAATAATCACTATTCTGCCGCGTGTCAGCATCAAAGCTATTGGAAAAAGCAGATCAGAAACGAATAAGCCATATTACCGCAAGAAACAAATTGAGTCCCACATGTAATAAATGATGCTCTAATTACACTGGATGTAACAGAACATAAGCTGAGCTAGGAGCTGAGGGAGCTGGGAAGCTGAGCTAGGAGTTGAGTTAAGCAGCTAACCAAAGAAGAAGACGGCAGTGGGGCTAACTATCAATTAGTTAGTTAGATTTGTTCATCATATACACGTGTGCATTTTGTATTGACTTGTAAAGCTAGTTAGTTAGAAGTAGTTAGTTTGTTAGCTGATTGTATTTTGTATTTATACACAACTCTCTGTAATTTTTGATTGATGAGATAATAATACAATTGAGTTCAATTTCTACTTACATCTCTTCCGTTTTTCCTCCTCTTTTCATTCATTCTTCAATATGGTATCAGAGCATATATGCTTCTATTGCCCGCTCTTCTAAATGTATTTTATGAAAAGACAGATTTTTTTTTTTGGCATTTTGTCAAATAGAATATACAACAAGCACAATTGTCCATCGATTGCATTTTCATTTCACATCGTGTTAATTTGTCATGTGGGTACGTTAAATTTAAATTATATATGTTTGGTCTTTATCTTCTAGAATTTATTTTCTTTTTCAAACTTATTTTTCACTACATTTTATCAACTTTTATCAAAATTTACTAAAAAATATGAAGATAAACTAAACAAGGGTCCATTCCTTTTGTTTGAGAAAATCCTTATACGTGGTTTATTTATTTGATTACCCTTAACAATTTCTTTGGACCATCTATTTGTAGTTGAATTCTATCTAGGATGATTACTCTTGAGAAAGTGAAGGATGGATCACGATCGGCCTTAGAGTTAGGCAGCATAGACCACGCACCCCTCCCCCACCCAAAATAAAATGAGGTCAAATTTTATTTATTTTATTTTTTTGAAGGTCCAAGTGTTTACATTGATAAAAAAATTGATAAACTTTTAAGTCAAACTTAGTGTTAGGATTTATATTATATTGGCAATTCTTTAGACAAGATTATTATTATAAAAGAATAGAATTTTTATAAAAGAGTTGTAAAAATTAAGGAATCTTTTGAAGGGTTGTATATATGAATTATGAGTCTTTTGGATTCGAGTATGGAATAAGGAGAAAAAGTCGTCGAATTTACGTTAGCATGTTGCGTAGTTGATGCTCGAGCGGAAAAAAAACATAATCATTGTCGCCCGCCTATAGCCGAGCGACACACCTCTCGCTCGCCTTGCATTCAAGCGACGGTGCGTAAAATCCTAATTCGTGATTTTCAAGAGTTCTATCTATCTTATACTACGTAAATACCTCTTATTGTAAATACAAAATTCCCATTACGTTTTTGGGTGAGGTTGATCATTATTTTACATTCTCATAACAACAATTCAAAATCTAAGAATACATCAAGACATTGAGATTAATCATTTGATTCTTGAAATCAATCAACCACAAGTTTGGGAAAAATATTACAGTCAAATAATTCAAAACACCTACTTCCTATATATATAATGAGGAAGGTACTTTATCGATAACTTTCAAAGGTTGTTGAAGTTCGAGGGAGGTTGGATCGAAGTATAGGAAGAGTACAAGAACAATGTATTTTTGGTAATCCACAGGAAATAGACCATTCCAAAAAATCAGGAGTAGGTGTGAGTTAAACACATTTTAGCGGGTCTTGGAGATTGAAGGAACTAAATCAGTGAATCTAGTGGGTTTTCTAAGCTAAATCATACTGTAAGTTCTTATTGTTTATAGTGAAAATTATTGTCTTGATCCCGAAGTTTTTTACACAATTAAGGATTTTCTCTGTCATCAATTCTTTGTGTTATTTACTGCTTTATTTATGATTGTGGCAATTCAACATTAGGATAATTTCACTTAATTGACTAAATGTTTAGAACAATTAAAAAGTGACTTATTGCTTTTAATTGATAATTTTTAATTCCAAGTTATTCACCACCTCTAGGTGATTTTAAGATTGAACTAGTAACTTTTAGTTATAGTCAACAATTAATTTTAATCACACATTTCATGAAACTCACAACTTTTATAAACTTTTCGACCATATATTTCATCATTTTTATCAAAATATACTAAAAATATGATTTTTAGCAACATCGAACAAGGACTTAATTGCATTTGAGAATTGGTGAACTTGCAAACCTTTGTTTCTACACATGTATTAATTAATGTCTGAATTCTCAATATAATTAACCTCACGTGTATACAAATTAACATGGTCATCTTAACTAATTAGCTAATGAGATGACAAGATGTAGCATTTGTTAATTAATTAGTTATTACTCTCAGACAGATGAACGATAATCTGGAGAATATGTATGGTAGGTGAGTTAGTTGTTTTCAAGAGTCGATAAATATTTCACCTAGCCAAGGTACTAAAACTAATTGTCAAGTCCCTAGCTTGCTTCGCGGACAAAACTAATTTTTTTTTTAATTAAATTGGGGTATAACCTTTAATTTTTATCGACTCATTAGTGCATTATAAAGGTTAAAATGTAGGAAAAAAATTTACGTGCAAAATTTTCTTATTGGAAAGATGTATGATTGAAAATGAATTCTAAAAAATTGGACTAAAAACGGGAAAAATGTTTCTTATTTTGTACAAATTGTTATCAATACGTGCTTGGTTCTATGAGATCGATGGACAAATACGGATGGATCTAAGCGACTCTTTTTTTTTTTTTTTTTT